GATCTCCTGAGGTCAGGAGTTCGAGACCAGCCTGGCCAACATGGCGAAACCCCATCTCTACTAAAAATACAAAAATTAGCTGGGCGTGGTGCTGTGTGTAATCCCAGCTACTTGGGGCGCTGAGGCAGGAGAATCGCTTGAACCCAGGAGGCAGAGGTTGCAATGAGCCGAGATCACGCCATTGCACTCCAGCCTAGGCAGCAAGAGCAAAACTCCGTCCCCCAAAAAAAGAAAAAGAATCAGGCTTTTCTGGGGGGCTGCGTGCTGTGTTAATTGATATTAGAGCCCCCTCCAGATTTGAACTGGGACCATTTCTCCCCATCCCTTATCTGCACAGGGACTGTTAAACAAGTCTGGGTCTGCCCTTGTGTCCCAGGCTGTGTAAGCCTTGTCCCCACCTCTCCAGGAGGAAGAACCAGACCCAGCGAACCTGGAAGTGGACCATGATTTCTTCCAGGAGAAGGTGTGGCCCCATTTGGCCCTGAGGGTCCCAGCTTTTGAGACTCTGAAGGTAACTGGCAAGGGCAGGTTTTCCTTTTTATTTTTGGACATTAGATGGGACAGATGACATTGGTTCCCTCGCAACTGTGCACTGCCGTAGTCCCTCCATGTCACAACTGCTAAGGAATTTGTTGGACACATAGCATTCCATAGACCCCTCAGCAGTGGGTAGAGGGCACTTTGTGCTGACCCCTGACGAGGAGTGAGGATGGAGTGTGGCTTCAGCCTTCCTGAGAACCCCAGTGTTTTGTGCACCCGCAGGTTCAGACAGCCTGGGCCGGCTATTACGACTACAACACTTTTGACCAGAATGGCGTGGTGGGCCCCCACCCACTAGTTGTCAACATGTACTTTGCTACTGGCTTCAGTGGTCACGGGCTCCAGCAGGCCCCTGGCGTTGGGCGAGCTGTGGCAGAGATGATACTGGAGGGCAGCTTCCAGACCATCGACCTGAGCCCCTTCCTCTTCAACCGCTTTTACTTGGGAGAGAAGACCCAGGAGAACAACATCATGTGAGCATGTGTGCTCTGCACTGGCTCCACTGGCTTGCATCCTGGCTGTGTTCACAGCCTTCTCTGCTGCTCCAGTCTTCCCCAGCACTGTGCTGGGCCTTCTCCCCCTCCCCAGTGTCCTCTCCTCTCAGGCGGGCCATTGCATCCACATGGCTGGGCAGGCACAGGCACTGAGGCCCAGGCCAACAGCAAGCGATGAGCGGAATCCTAGGACTGATCTGTAGCCCATGCTGGTGTCCCCCACCAGGGCAATCCAGCTGGAGGCCTGAGCACCCTGGCCCAGGACTGGCTCCATCCTGGCACTGACCAGGAAAGACTGCCTCTGACCCTCTTAGCAGACAGCCCAGGCATGGGAGCATTCTGGGGCAGCCTGGCTCAGGTTTCTTGATTGTCTGTTACCCTATCCATCAATCAATACATGTGATTAACTCCTTCCCTCCGGTCTTCTGTCTCTTCTTTTCATTGTACAGCAGGAGCTTTTGAAGCACCCCATTAGCCTTGTATCAGGACAGGGAGCTCTTTTACAACAAAACAAAACAAAAAATGAGCACAAACCCACCTTTTATTAGTTAAATCCTTGAGCGGTACAGTATCACACAGATTATGTGTCCGTAGTCTTAGCAGGAAGATTGGGAATTTGGCGTAAACCATGCCACTGTTTCCATGAACTCAGGTTACTTTTTACCAGATTACTCTGGTTTTGTGTGGTGTGCCACCAGGAGTCGCTGTGTGGTTCTTTGCTTTGTATACATGAGCACATCTCTTGCCCAAATAGAATTCGGTTTCATCCCAGGCATAAATGCTCAATTTTAAGAAGAGCTGTGTGCCTACTTTGGTTCTGGAAACCCCACTTATAGCCCCAGCAAAAATGGCCTTGGATCACAGCCTTCCTGTTCCCAGCAAGCCTCCACAAGCTCCAAGATGGCGGACAGAGTCCTTCTTAGATCCTAGGTGGTAGGTGTCTTGCTTGTAAGCAAGTACCTCCCATTCCTGAGTTCCTGCAGGGAGTTGGTTGTAAAGAAGAGGGATGGGTTTGCCATGCATTCTACCAACATTTATTCAATCCAACTGTTGGCCAGGCTCAGGGTCACACATTGAGATACACCAGCAAGCAAAACATAGTCCTGTCTTTGCTGGAACTTTCATAGCCCTGCCCCTCCTAGCCCCTCATCCCTAGATCAGATACAGTGTGACCCCCACAGTGCTGGCATAAGCACACAACACAGACACCTCACCCAGGGTGGGAGTAAGAGGGTGGCAAAGGGGTTTCTCCATGAAGCTCCTCCAGGGAAGTTGACTTCTGAGCTGAACCTAAAGGATGGGCATTTAGTGAAGTGAATGCAAGGTGGCCAAGGAAGGATCCAGGCTGAGGGCAAACCATATGAAAAGGCCCAGAGGCAAGAACTAATAAGATTCAGGGATTTGTCCTAGTCCACTTGGGCAGCTATCACAACATATCCTAGAATGGGTAATTTATAAATAATAGAAATGTATTGCTCACAGTTCTAGAGGCTGGGAACTCCAAGATCAAGGCACCAGCAGATTGAATGTCTAGTAAAGACCTGCTCTCTGCTTCAAAGATGGTACTTTCTCACTGCATTCTCACGTGGCAGAAGGTGTAAGGCAACCTCTTTAAACCTCTTCCAAGAACACTCATCCCTTTTATGAGAGTAGAGTCCACATGATTTAATCACTTTTCCAAAAGCCCCACCTCTTAACACTATCACATTGGGTATTAGGGTCCAACCTATGACTTTAGGGAGGACACCAACATTCAGACCCTAGCAGGATTCAGTATGACTTTTTCTGCCTGGATCGTGGAGCGCAAGAAGAGGAACCAGAGCCACTGAGGGGTTTTAAACGGGAGCAACACGATCAGATTTTCCTTTTAGAAGAATCACCTGGGTGACCTTGTGGAAAGCAGATGAGGATGTCAAGGCAGTAAGGAGGCCAGATGGAGGCTGTGGTTGCAGTCTGTGTGGCAGAGACAGGGAGTGCCTGAACCATCATGGTTCCCAGGGTGACGCCAGCAACAAGAAGTGGGTTAAGTCGGATGGCCAGGTTTTTGGATGGAAGTACCGCCCCTCCCAGAGATGAGGAGCACCAGGGAGGAGTGGAGTGAGGGACGGAGTGAGTGGTGCAGTCTGGGATGTGAATGAGGGGTACCTGTAGGGCATCCCTCAAATAAGGGGTTGGGCTGATTGGCATGGTCCTTGGGGGACACTCTGGGTTACAGATAGAGATGTGGACATCATGGAGCAGGAGGGCATCACCCCAGAGGGTAGAGTAGTGGACCAAGGAGGGAAGCTGGAGGGACCCCACCAACATTTAAGGGACAAACCAAAGAAGGGGACACTGAAGAGGTACCCACAGAGACAGGAGAAAAGCCAGGAGAGTGTGGTGTCGTGGAAGCTAAGGAGGAAGTGATCACAGTACCTGCTGGATTCAGTCCCAAGTAGTTCAGTGTTGGCCTCATTCTCGAAGAGCAGTTTCAGTGGAATTTGAGGTCTGGACATTTGCAGAGAAGGAGAAGTGAATGGGAATAGAAACAGCTCGTAAACTGCCCACTCTGCCTCGAAAGCGGCATTTGGGGTTGGGCGCAGTGGCTCACAGCTATAATCCCACCACCTTGGGAAGCTGAGGTGGGAAGATCACTTGAGCCTACGAGTTCGAGACCAGCCTGGGCAACATGGCAAAATCCTGTCTCTACAAAAAATACAAAAATTAGCCAAGCGTGGTGGCATGCACCTGTAGTCCCAGCTATTAATACTTGGGAGGCTGAGGCAGGAGGATCACTTGAGCCTTGGAGGTTGAGGCTGCAGTGAGCTGTGAGACACCACTGCACTCCAGCCTGGGTAACAGAGTAAGACCCTGTCTCAAAAACAAAAACAAAACAACAACAAAAATAGTGGCCTTTGTGGAGAAGGATGAAAGGGAGGGAAGAAATGATGGAGGTGGGCCTTACTAATGGCAGGGGAGGAGATGTGCTACCAGAGAGGTAACAGCAGAAGCTCCTGGGGTTAGGGTGGGGGGGCCAGGCCTCAGGCAGAAGGCAGAAGAGGAAGAAGGCGGTGCTGAAAGACAGGAAGGAACTTGCCAGGGATATGGAGGAGGGACAAGTCAACATCCGGGTTGACCCTGTGAGATTCCCCTAGGTGCCAGGCAGTTGCTCCCCCTCCCTTCAGCACGGACATTCCAATCTCAGGGTGAAAGGGAAAAGGCCTTCAAGTGTTTCTCACCCAGAAGCTGCTCCCTTCCACACAGTGAGTACTATGTTTATTAAGAAGCACTGAGACCTGTAATCCCAGCACTTTGGGAGGTGGAGGTGGGCAGATCACCTGAGGTCAGGAGTTTGAGACCAGCCTGACCAAATGGAGAAACCCCGTCTCTAGTAAAACAAAATTAGCTGGGCATGGTGGCGCATGCCTGTAATCCCAGCTACTCAGGAGGCAGAGGCAGGAGAATTGCTTGAACCCTGGAGGCGGAGGTTGCAGTGAGCCGAGATTGCACCATTGCACTCCAGCCTGGCCAACAAGAACGAAACTCCGATTCAAAAAAAAAAAAAAAAAAAAACAGGCACTGAGCAACTCCCCTGTCCTCCCACAGGGCTCCACAGGGCTCCACTTCCCCACTGAGCTGTGCAGAGCTCGGACCAAGCCTTCTTCATTCTTGCCCGACACTCAGCTGTCCCAACGCTTGGCCCATACTTGGCGCAGTCAAGTCCTGTTTATCTGAGTGTTCCTCCAGTGTCCCTCTGCTCTGGCTGGAGCCTGAAGAACCAACCCTGGCCTCGGGGAATTTTTACTTTAAAATGGGACCTAAGCAGCCAGAGCACAGTCTCTTTACAATGAAAAGCACTACTGTCTTTGAGGGATGGAGGTGGGAAGGGCTGGGTTAAGCAAAGCTTTCCTGAATAAGCTGCAAAAATGGGCCTTGATCCCTTTGTAGTTCATAAGCATGATATTTGGGTGTTCACGCACATGTGTGAGATGTGCCTCTCTTAAACCTTGTTAAGGGTTGTTACCCATGTGATGTGAAAAAAAAAAGAAAAAGGAAACAAACAAACAAACAAAATAGGCCTTGCTAGAAGAAGGGCGTTTTGCAGAGCAGAGTTGGGCAAAAGGAGGGCCCTGGGTGGAGGTATACTTGGTAGAGTCAAAGCAAACTGGGCATTTGGGTGCAGGGCCAGGTGCCTGATCTGCTTTATGTAGACTCATTTAATCCTTGCAAGAACACCAGTGTTCCATCTCTCCAAGCTTCATGTCTCCGTAATTTGATGAGGGAAGCAAGCCTAGAAAAGTCGCGTGACTTCACCAAGGCCACACAACTAGTAAGTGATGAGCGCTGGTTGTGAACCCAGGCAGTTGACTCCAGAGCCCGCCCAGGATGGGCAGCTCATCCGCTTTGGTGGTCTGGTGAGAAAAGGAGGAAATCAGACTGGAGGGGGAGATCATGAATCTTACATGGCCTAATTAAACTACCTCCACACTCCAGCATTTCGTGCACAGAATTTGAGGATAGTGTTTTCCAAACTGGCATGCCCTGTAGCAAGACGCTCAGGAAGACATTCACATTTCTTGTAGAGTGAAACAAGTGTGGGGAATGCTCCGTTCCCTTCTCCCCAAGGTGCTTCACAGCGTTCACCAACATCTGAAGAGCTCTAAGAAGTGGGAGGCAAAGGCATCTCTTTCACCCAGGACTTCCAAGCCTCTTGCCTACACCAAGTTGTTCGCAGCGGCTCTGCAGCATCATAACGCCCATGTGGGATCACTGTTTAGAGGAGCAAAGAAAGCACTTTGGCATGAGGCGGGGTTTCCATCCTCGTCGGCATCAACCAGTGTCTGGGACAGGAGCTGGTGGCCGCTGCGGCCTGCCTTCCCAGCTGCTGCCCTGGTCTGCCCTCCTACACTGCAGCCCCGTACACCCCTCGCTGTGTGTGACTTTTGGAAAAGTCGTTCCATCTCTCCAAGCTTCATGTTTCTCGATTGTATAAAAGGAAAAAGGTACGAACACGCCCCTTGCAGGGTGTTAGGAGGATTAAATGGGTGGAATAGGGTGGGTTTTTTTCTCCTTCTCTCCCCCACCTAGAACAAAACCCAGACTTTAGGTTTCACGGTGGGCGCCGGGGAACCCTGGCCACAAGCTCCTCTCCGAGTTGCTGCGGACCGCCCCGAGGCAGCTAGCGTGGAGGACGGGCGCCCGGAGTCATACAGAAGCCAGGCTGGCCGGGGCTCGGGCTGCGGTGGACTCCCGCAGCCCGATCGTGCCCCAGCGCCTC